TTGACTATGCTTTGAGTGAAGAAGATGTATGTGAAATTTGTAAAACCTGGAGAGATAACCAAGCTATAATCAATTGTGTGTTGAGAAAAAAGGGAAGAAATTTTAGAAACGTTGAAGATGACATTTTGATATTTTTAACTGCGTATAACATACCACCTTATAGTTATGTTAGAATATTTCTGAAAATCAGTAAGAAAAATATGAAATGATTAAAGGTATATTATGCATGTTGACTTGTCATTTTAGGGAAGGGTTTGATGTGAAAGAAGACATTAAAACATATATTGAAGAAAAAAGGTTTAATGTGAAACATACCGTGAGAGATAATAATATTATTTTTAAAATGATGTATGAAAGAGATACGATATATACACAATTTGATGGTCATCAATTGAATTATTATCCTGAACTTAAGTTATAAAATTCTATCTACCTAACCTTGCCCATAATATTTCTACAAAATTTATGATAAAACTATTGTAAGATAATTTATCATATTTTTTGGAATAATATTTTTGAAAATTTATTTTTTGAAAATGTATTTTTTGATTTTGTTGAAACTATTATTTCTTGAAAATATTATTTATTGAAAAATATTTTTTTGAGAATATTATTTTGTTTTTGAAAATATTATTTTTTTGAACAATATTATTTTTGATTTTTTTAATGAATGAACTTAACCTTGCCTATCTTTTCTACCATCCAATAACCATATCCTATGAACCACCCTATACTCCTATTTCCACTCAAGCATCCTAACAATGACATGAATGATGGAATAGAAATGAGAAAAATGTGACTTTTTTGATGGATTTTGAGGTTGAGACTGTTATGAAATGTTTTGAGTGGAAATATGCATAATGAATAAGGATGACGATTTGAATAGTAAAAAATGGTTGAAAAATGCTGTTCTTGCGTAGGGAGGGGGGCACGCTAGGATACCTAAAAAAGATGGGCAAGGTGTCCTCTAACTATAAATTGGTTAGGGATTGTCCGAGTCACAAATGACTTCCCAAGCTTCGGGGTTGAAGAACCAAACTGTCCAGCGTTTCCTGCCAGGCGGAATTTCAGCCAACGGAAACGGCGCCCTTGTTTCTTATATTCGTCAACGATGATCTGTTGCAGAGTCTTTAAAAGACGAGCACGCGGTCCCTTCCCGCCGCGGTTGCCGCGGAAGGGGCCGACTTCCATGTGCGACCAAAACGGGCAGTCACGGAAGGGGTTGTTTACCCGAAAAGCGTTACGGCTGACAACCACTCAAAGGAGAGGGAAACACAGTTTTCACAACAACGGGGGAACCCGGGACCTTAAAAGGAACAAACCCCGCCGTGACTGCGACCTCTCCCTTACTTGGGGTAAACGCGCGCAAGCGCGCCTTTTTTACTTGAGCCAAAACGACATGTGATCATGTCGTGCTTGATTGTTTGCACATGTGAACCTCTGGGCCATAAATGTCATCGTACTTGTTTACTACTAATATGCAAAATCGTTGCAAAGGAGCCTTCTCTGCTCCCCCCTGCCTGTAAGGACGCTGCTCAGCGCCGAAGAACAGGAACCTCCGGCAAACTGCAGCTTTTTCGGCTGAAACGGCCCCAGCGATTTGCTTGCAACAGGCGATCCGTCTTCAAGCGCAGACGCTTAAAGTTTATAAAGGTTTCCAGGATGCTCCAGGCTTCCCTGCGCCAACAGCTCAAGCTTTCCACGCGTATGACAAAAACTACCACAACAAAAAACGAGTTTCCATTATAGCTCTTGGCCCTCTATGGCGTCTACGCGTCCGCAAGATTCAAAACACGGCAGCCTGAACAACACGGCGCTCTGTTGGCGAGCAAGCGATTGCTGCGGCGTTGTCCCAGAGCAGTTTGGCAACATGCATCTCCGAGGGCTCTGCCACCCTTTTGCGCCTTGAGCAGCGATCCGGCAACGGACGCAGCTTTGTCATGGCCGGCCGCAAATGGTGTGAGATCGAAGGGAACGGGGGACAAGAATTGCCCACATGTGTCCAGTAATGATGAATGCTTCCCCAAAGACAAGGGGCAAAACTTGGGGGCCCACGTGTGTGTGTGCGGTAGTGATGAAGTGGAACAAGCGGGGTCACACGTGTCTGGGAATGATGAATGTAATGTGTTCACAAAGCGAAAAAACTGGGGCCCACATGCGCCTGGCAAGTATGATTACGATATGCCATGCGCCAACCACAAACAGGCCTGGTCGTGATGAACTGCGAAATGAATGAAATGCTACCCACGAGCACAGTGTTGATTGAAATCTGAGCGCGCTCGGGCCAAAAAAGAAGCATTGTCCCAAATCAAGTTTTTCTTTCAGGCGACACTGCCCAAGGCACACAGGTGTCTCGCCTCCGGAGATGTGCGCCGTCTTTGAGCATTTCGCCCCTGCAGGCAAAGCGACGCCTAAAAGAGCGGCTCATGTGCAGGAGCTCAGTGGACTTGAGTGGTTCGGGAACCACAAAAGGAATCGTCAACCCTGGCAAAAAGAGCTTACAAGGCCGAATTTAGGCAGCGCATCACGACCAAGTGACGCGGGTCGGCGGCGCACGGGCGCAGCCCCTATAGCTGAAGCTAGCAGGCTAATTGCCTAGAGGCGTAGCCGGATAAGGCCGTGCCGCCGACCATGCGCGGACCATGAGCATACGTTTCCCGCCCTTCTAAGGGGCGAAGGATTTGCGGTTTGGTTTAAGCGATTTTCGGGGATTTTTGTAGCATCTCCCCACGGCGTCCAAAAACGAATGCTTTTGGGGGGTGCCTAATACTGGGCAACAACACCAGCATTGCCAGCATCATCCCGGATGATGCGAATGATGAATTGCAGAAAGTGGAGGGGCGATGCAAGGAAAGCCTGCTAAGGGGCGAAGGATTTGCGGATTTGTTTATGTGATTTTTGAGGATTTTCGTAGCATTTCCGCGCGGAGTCGCAAAACGAGAGGATGCAAAAACTGATGGAACATGTGTGGAAACTGGATGCAAAATTGATGGAGAACTTAATCGGGCCGCAGGTCGAGCCCAGACGCCTATTTTCTGGGCCTGCGGCTTCTGGCCGGCTACGCCTCTTTGAAGTTATGCCATGTCATGTCATGCTTTTTGTATGAGAAACGTATCCTGGCTGGTTAGGTTATGCGTGTTGCAAACCCCAACCCCAGATGATGCCGGGGATGCCAGCTTTCTGGGCCCAGCCGGGCCCCAGCGCGCGCGCGCCACAACCCCCGCCCAAAAGAACAGCCCGCAAGCCAGCCCAGAACAAAACACCGTAAATAGCAGCGTTTTGTGGCTGGGGTCGCGCGCGCGCGCGCGCCAGAAGGCCCGAAAACCAACGCGAAAAAAGCAAGGACCGCGCAGCGCGCGAGCCGGCCATAGCAAAAGCAAAACGGACAGAACGACAGCCCACCGCTCAGCACAGCGGTTTTTGACGGTATTTACAGCGTTTTGTAGAGCGAGGACCCAGCATCGCCGGCATGCCTGGCAGCGCTTGGTGCCACAATGCGCGAAAATGAGCCTTGCTTATATCCCTCCGACACCTTGTAAGAAACAGTGCTTCATGGGTCGAGAGGCTTTTTGGAAGGAAGTCTTGATGATGCAGACCAAGCCCCGCTGAAGCCCAGACCCTGACGATGCCAGCCACATGGCCTAAACCCTGCATATACGCGATGCTTTGCAAGGGTTTCCCACAGGCAAGCAAAACCGCAAGCCCGAGCTGGTGATGCAGAGGTGCCGGATTTAGGCAGCGCATCACGACCAAGTGGCGAGGGTCGGCGGCATCAGGGTGCAGTCCCTATAGCTAAAGGCTAATTGCCTAGCGGCGACAGCCGGACCTTCAGGTACAAGGCCGTCCGCTTCACGCCGCCGACCACGTGCATACGTTTTGCGCTGGGCCCGCCCTTATAAGGGGGCGAAGGAATTGCGGATTGGTTTCGAGGATTTTTGTCGCGTCCCCGCGGCGTCCAAAACAAGTCTTGGGGGGTGCATAATACTGGACAACACCACCAGCATTGCCAGCAACATCCCGGATGATGCGGATGATGCTATGCGTGCTGGCGATGCGAAACAAGGAGCTGAAAATTGCAGAAAACGAAGGGGAAATGCAGGGAAAGAGTCTTGCCATGACGTGGCCAGAATCTCATGCTAAGCGGAATGCTTGTGATGGGTCTGACTGCCTTATTAATGGCGCGAAGGTCTGAGCATGCTCGGGAAATCGGCGGCGACTTGGGCCTTGCGTCAGGGAAAGGTCTGCTCTTGGTTTTTGTCATCTTTCTTGCGTGGGGGAGCTTCGGTAAGGGGAAACACAAAGGGAAAGGGGCTGACGCCGCCGCGCAGCCAACTCGCATCAACCGTGGCTGCCCACGCAGATGAGGGTTGAAAGGCCCATTCAGATGAGGGTTGAAAGGCCTACACCTGCCAGGAGTCACTGGAAGTGAACGAAATGGAAGTGACAGGAATTCCAGGAAGATGAAGAGGGCACTGGAGAGAAACCAACATGCAGGAAAATGCAAGGGCAGAACGTGAAGGGAGCCGGAGGACGGGAACAAAAAGAAGTTGTTGGAAATTATGGGAAACGAAGCGCAACTGAAGAGAAATGAAGGGATGTGCAGGAAACGAGCGAGGTTGAAGTCGCGGGAACTAAAAAGACTTAAGGGAAGGGGAATGATGGGGCGTTCAAGGAAATGAAGGGAGATGGGAAAGGTCCAAAGGGAAAATTCGAATTGGAGAATTCCAATGGGAAAGTTCCAAAGGAACACTTGTAGGAGAATTCCAAGTATAAGCAAGCAGGCCTGTAACGTCGGGAGCCGGAGGCGTTAAAGTTCACATTTCACGGAATTGTTCAAACAGCACGGATGCATTGCCTGCATTGCACACAAGTCGATTCGTGCAATTGCTTTCTCGCGCTCGTGGCCAAAGGCTTACCCGGTGCTCTGGGACACCCACGGATTCAATCTTGTTTATTGTGGTGGGTTGCGCAGTCTGCATGAGTCGATATTTTGATATGAAGCGCATGTAAGTAAACTGAACACGCCAGTGCTACTAGTGCTTCTCCTCGATTATCTGATCCTTCGAGTGGTGACACTGAAGCGGATGGAAAGCCAATTCACTCAGATCTTCTCCTGTCAACTTGCACTCATCTCTGCTTCCTCTCTTGACTTCAAACTGGAAATCAAACATATTTGTCCAAAATGACCCTTCGGCATGCCCGGACACAGCCCTGTCCTCAGTTACTTCCATGACCTCCTCGGTCACCACCTGCAGCGGCTCCCAGCCTTGCTGCTCCAAGTGCCTCACAAACGCGTTGCAACGAATGCCCAACCATAGACCCTCTGGGACCATCTGCGATCCTTTCAGGTCGTAAACAGAGTCTGACCAGAGGGTTCGATGGTTCCCCGTTCTCACCAGCCTCTCCACTGCCTGGTCCCATCCGTTTTCCTCGGAGCCTTAGCCGCTCACGTCTCATTCGAATTGCATCACTCCAAATAAGCTTGGCATAAGATGAGCATCGCACGACGGAACTTGTGTTCGTCCAGTCTTTGCAAGACCTGCAAAACATCAAGCTGCCGTGCATTCAGCTTGAAGAAACCAACATGCCTTGCCACCTTGCCGCCTCGCCTCTTTAAAATTCCGCAGTTTTGACTCTCGCTCATCTTTGAAGGACTTCCGGGCCGCTTCTTTAGCCTCGAGATGAACATGCCCCTACTGTTCGGCTTGGACCTCATGCCTGGTCATCCAGGTGGTCGTACTTCTTAGAGTATTGTCTAACATTTTTCCTGGCAAAGATCAACAAAGTGCAGTTTCTTGTCGAGTTGCAGAGTGAAACTGGCTCTGAACCCGTCACACGAAGGCCTGATTTCCCCCTGCTTCTTCCTCAGACGCTCAGATCAGACACTTTGTGGCACAGAGTTGCCAAGCCCGCAGCGGTGGCAGCAAACATGGGGGATGAGGCCTCCAGGCCTTCGCACTGAAAAAGAAGAAAGGTCCTTCCCAAACATTCCAGGTCCCGAAGGGTCCCGAGTCTCGAAGGGTTCTCAATTTTGACTCACTGCATGGATGACGCAAGCCCAGAGACGGGCTTAACCTGCATGATACAGCTGTGAAGACAAAGGCTGCTGCGATTTGCCAAAGTTTTTCCTTCTGCTGGCGGTGAAGCACGCGGCCCTGAGCAACATGTGCCTCAACTTGTTGCAAGCCATTGACAAGCCTGGAATGTCCAAATCGCAAAGCCGGCTTCCATACTGTACTTGAAGCCTCCAATCCTGGGTTACCGAAGTCTCTCCCACCATATCTTGAAATATGATTGAACTGAAGCCCGGGCTCATTCTGCATGGGTTGGGTCACAGCTGTAATCACATACCTGGGACTGAGACACTCCAAGGCTATGAGGCTAACGCAGTGCAACGCTCGCCTGGAAGAAGGATCCCATTGCACATCTGTCAGCATGAAGTGCTCGTCCTACATGTGAGACGTGCCACACATCCAGCTAGCTGCCCCACACTGCCTTGTGCAAGATTTCTAGCCTTGGCCAAGGCTTTTCGAAGACTTGAAGCAAGTAGCCCAACCAGGAAGGAATTGCTGCACAAACAGTGGGCTTCTTTCCTTTCTTGGTGGATTGCAATCTTGGATCATTCAAGCTTCTTAGTCTTAGCAAATCAAGTCTGGCAAGGTAAGCGTCCAAGCAGCTTGTTATCACTCGTCATGCCTCCAAACAAAAGATCGCCATGGCCCAAAGCAGCACACACCTCACAGGGACTGGCATCTAAGTGAAACCTGCACAGAACAACCAATGACCGCAGATTTTGAGGGCCAAGCAAAGTATTGACCTTCTGGAGCCCAAAAAAAGTTGTTGTAACTGTTGGACCTGACAGGATTGGAGATTGATTCACTGCAAGGCCATGATGCGGAGGTATGAGGTACAGGCGGCAAATCGAAGAAGCTCAACGCCTCACACTTCTCTTTGCCTCAAGTGCAATCGATGCCTCATTGCCTCATGGACTGACACGGAGCCGCAACTTCACACGTTCTATGCTTCGAAAGGCATGCACTCAGGCCATAGATGAACCTTAGTCCGAGCGCAGCTCGATATCCCACGAATCTTCATGACACGGTGCTACACTGACAAAGACCCCTGCTAAACATTGACAAATTCAGGCCACCTTGGATCGCATGGCAAGCAAGCGCTAGTGAACTCATCCCAGCCACATCTTCGGGTGGTGCCCGGACTCGTCGCTTGTCAACAATGAGAAGCGGTGCCTCGACTTCACAAAATCACGTAGGTTGGCCATGGCAACGTTGTTTCTCCAAGGGACCCACCCTTTTGTCTCCCAGTGGAAGCCGCGGACAGAGTCCTTGACCTGAGCCATCACGCTCGCTCCAGAAATTACAGGAAATTTGAGAGCCTCAACGATGTCCACTGGGATGTTCTTCTCTCGGATACGGAAGATTTCCAGGTTTGTTGCGCCTAATCGGTTCTGCCATGTATTGCTGCGCTATACGTTTCAGCTCAAAAACCTGGCCGAGGGGAGTCAATTGAATACGTGTGCCACAAGCTCCGGTCATGTGCTCACGTGCCTTTCTTTTTGGTTTTGCTGAGCTTGGTGTTGATGAGGCATAAGTAGTCTCCCTCGGACTGCCAGTGCATTGATGCCTCCACCTTGCGGCTATTGAAATCCATCGGCATATTGGACCGCAGCCACTTTCAAATCCAGCCTGTGTCCTTGATCTCGATGCCAGTTCGCGGCGAGATGGGATCTCGATCAAGACCAACCTGGGAGGACGTGTCCAGGTTTTTCTGTTGAATCTTGGATGTAAAAAAAACACATTTCGCACCTTGCTGGGTTGTTTTCCCGCTCCAGACACCAAACGCTGAGCAAATTGTCCTGGAAAGGACACATGGCTAGCCTTGCATGAACTCTCAAACTGCTATTTTGCCATGTGCTGGACATGGGCGCTTGCCCTGTCTCGCATCACGTCCTTGGGAGACCACTGAAATGTGCTGAGGTCTGGGAACTTGAGAGTCTTCTTCTTCCCATCCTAGGCCACAACCTATGACAAATTCTATCAAGCTGAGGCTGACTTTAGGCAGGCCTCATCTGTAATCAGCTGAAAGGTATCCTTGGCTAATCAAGAAACCTACAAATGTGCCAAGCTCTAGCACAAAACAAACCATGCTTGCATGCTGTAGAACAAACAATCGCCAAGCTGCAGTCTCACGCACTGAGATAGCAGACTCATTGCATTCTGCAAAGTACCTGTACTCTTAGCAACAAAGCTTGACAAGTTAGAAAGCAACTGGCAAGCGCACTTGCCATCATGGCTCCACAGGAAATGCGGGAAGTCACCCCCTAATGGTGCCACCTTTGCTCCAATAGGCTGTCTTCGAAACACACACAGCAAGCAACCACACCTTTCGGATAAACCCAAGGTATGGGCAGTTGGAGTGCGGCATTTGTGAACACATTCTCCCGTCAACACGCGGTGTATGCGCACCTGGCAATGCTTCCAAACACTTGTATCAACTCGTGTCGCACTTCATGGTTGACAACACATCCGCACAGCAATGCGCCGAGGTCAACACTGCTTGGGAATCCGCATCCAATGCGGAGCTGCCATTCCAGGTCAATGCATACTCCTGGCATTGAGAAACCTCTCTTTGGTCTCTCCTTTCTCTCACGCTCTGGTCACTCCTCTGTCGGGGAGAACTCCAGGTATTTCACACCCTGGGAGCCGAACACTGGCTGGCCGCAAGGATTCAACCTGAGGGCTTCACGTTGTGGGCGAGGCGGATCTGACACGACACCGCGACAGAAAGTCTCAAACTGCACAAAATGCACAAAATGCAATTCTGCCAGTCAGTTGCCTTCTTCGTGAACTCCGGGCCAGCCCAAAGAGCCACGCCTATCAAGTGGCTCAAAGCGACTGCGTTGCACGTGCGTTGCTTGGCCTTGTTTGTGGAAAGTTGCCAAGAAGTGGCCCAGGGGTGACCACCTTGGGCCATGCAACACCCCAAATGCTCTTCTGCACATCTGTTTTGGATTTGTTTGGGTATTTTCCGATTAGGCGGCCAGCTGCACCTGCCAATCGCACCAAATCCTCGGGGCCGAGCGCGTTGAAAGCAAACAGAAACGAAGGTCTCAACGTCTTCCAAGGATATGAACATCCATGTTTTTGCGGAAACAAAACAAACTCATGGCAAGTTGCCTCGCCCGTCCTGCGCGTGGATCAATTTCTCCCATTGGCAAAAAGCAAGGGACGAGACACCAACATTGAAGGAGTGATGGCCAACGCGTGCAGATTCTAAGGTGCCGTGGTTTCCGCGCCAACGGGGTTGCAAGCCAAGGCTCTTTCCGTCGGCCTTCTCTCTCTCCCCGCCATAACAAAGAGCAGGTTCGCCTGCGCAAAACCGTTGCTTTGCCCGGACTAAATTTGATTTGAGAACGCACGAAAATGCCCCCCCCCCGTGCGGTGGTCAAGGGTGCGAACAACGATTGACGTCTTTCGCGCATCCTTATGTAGAAGCCCCCCATGTCAGCTGTGTTTGGTTGCTCACGTCTTTGAGACAAATGGTTGTGTGCGCCGATGGAAATACAAACGTGCGCCAAATCTGGCTTGAGCTGTGGATTTACGCTGCGCACACAAACGCACGGACGCAAACGCTGCTGCCACTTTCTGGCAATGGAGGCTGCGCGGGCTTCTTGCTACGGAACGCATTTCCGCGCGGAGGGTTTGCCTCCCCCCGTTCAATCACAGGCATGGCTACGACCTTGTTAGACATTGTGTAGAAGCGTGTCGTGCGGACACTCGTTTAAGAGCGTGAATGAGACAGAGAGAGAGAGAGAGAGAGAGACATGCTAAACTACGTGTGCACTACACTGGTAGTTGATACATACTGCAAGCCTTGAGCCTCACTACAGCTGGAGAAGAAACAAGGGCTGCGGCAGACTACGTTTGTTTGTGATAACAACAACACAGCATTTGCACTTGTATTTTAACGTAGCGGAGCTGAGATCCTACCCAAAGGGGAGCTCCAGTAGTACCGACTACAGTAGCACCCCAGTATGCCCAACTACTACGACATGACAGCAGGAGATCAACAGGCAGCATTAGCAGGCATATCACCAGCACAAACTACAGGAACAATAGGTGCAACAACAGCAGCAGCACAGGCAGAAAGCGATGTGCAGAGACTACCACCACCATACTTCAATGGTGACTACTCCAACTATGATGAATGGAGATTCAAGCTACAAGCCTGCTTGGGACTCATCGACAACAAGTTCGCCCAAATACTGCGAGCAGCACATGTAGCTACAGGCTACAGTGGTAGACCAACACCTGTTCAATGAGGTACGACCTGACACTGCAAGAGGCAACAAGCTCGTCAACCTTGCACGTGACCTACACTACATCCTCATCAGCATCTGTCAAGGCCCAGCGGCTACAGTGGTCAGACAAAACCGCTACACAGCCAATGGTTGCGAAACACTACGACTTTTGAACAACCGGTTCAGCCTACCAGTTGGTACAAGAAGTGTTGGCTTCTTGGCTAAATTACACCAGCCTCGACCCCAAACAGCAAAAAGCATGACAGGTCTGTATAACCCAAAAGAGGCTTGTCTCCTTCATGTAAGGTGCGAAATTGAGTAGCTTATGTGAGCAACACATAGTTACAATCAGTCTATGTATGTCCCTGTAGGAAGTCCCCTTTTTTGGGAAAAGGACACATCGGGTCAATCCATCTCCTTGACGCCGGGTAAAAGCATCGATGTTGTTCATCGATTTCGGGGTGAATCAACCTAACACCTGGCATTAATCAAAGGAAGTTTCCGAAGGAACTTCCGTAGTACGGACACTCAATGCACTTTTCCATCACCGCAGCATTTGGTGGCCGTCTCGCTACTCTGCTGAAACTTGCGCATCAGTCTCAGCAGCTTGCGGCCGAGACTGGGCACATGCCACTTCTGGCTGCTATCTTCTTCTCGAGCTCGGCTAAAGGTCTTGCCACAAGCAAAGCAAGAAAGAACTTGCATAAACTTGCAGACTGCGCCTTGTAGCGTTACGATCGGGACATCCTCGCCTAGCAACAATCCTTTGTTTGAGCCGGCAGCATTTGGTCATTCAGGGCCTTCATCTCTGTCGTGCCCAGCGCGCCGCATGCTCCCAAGAGAAACCATCAAACACGGCTGTGGCGTTAGCAACTCTTGTTAGATTATGCAGCCACCGAACATGTGTCGAAACATGGCCATGACCGTGCGTCCTTGTTGCGATTACCACATTGAGCACCAGAGCCGCCATTCCGTAATGTTGCTGGGGAGTTCGCCACGCACGCAGAGTGTCCAGCAGCACCTTGATGTTCAAGGCGTAGTGGAGGCGAAGCTGTGCCGTCAAAGGGCTGCGGCAGGCTACGTTTGTTTGTGATAACAACAACGCAGCATTTGCGCTTGCATTTTTAACGAGTGAGAGAGAGAGAGCGCGAGAGAGAGAGAGAGCGAGAGAGAGCGAGAGAGAGAGAGAGAGATGTCAAACTACATGCTTCACTACTTGCATTTGTGTTGCATGTGTGCACCACTGAAGGCCTTGAGCTGCTCAGTCGCATGACTACAGAGCCTGCTAGGAAAAAGTGCATTGCAGACACTACAGGATTTATTGTTAGTGACAACATTACAGCGCTTGCGCTTGCAGCAACTGTAACTCCTGTTTTAACGTGGTAGCGGAGCTGAGATCCTAAACATAGGGGAGCTCCAGTATTCAGCAGTAAGTACTACAACAACTGCAACAGCAATCACATGCCAAACTACTATGGCATGTCAGAAGAAGCAGCATCAGCTTCAGCACAACAAACTACAGGAGCAGAGAACGGGCCAACAGCAGAAACCGTAGGAACCACTGCTACAGGAGCAGGAACAGAACAAGACAACGACGCTCAAAGGGCGGGCGCACGCGAGCGGGTGTGCTTCTTGGGTGGTAGGCGTGGATGCAGTGCTGGGCGGGCGCACGTGAGTGGGTGTGCCCCCCCACCCCGCACCAACCGCCCACGCACACCCCCCCCTCCCTTTTCTTCCCCTTTTCACCAGTGACAGCAACTCCCCCACCCAGTGCTTGCCAGCGAGCGCTATCACTCCCCCCCACCCCACCCCTTTAAGTGTGATCGGATGGGCGGGTCGCAAGTGACCCCACAGCCGCTTCGTGTTCCTGCTGGTAGGCTGAACCTGTTGCGCAAGAGTTGCAGTGTTTCACATCCATTTGCGTTGTAGCGGTTTTGCCTTACTACTGTAGCTGCTGCTCCTTGACAGATGTTGATGAGGATGTAGTGTAGATCTCTGTGTGTGTTCTGATGTCTATGTCCGCAATCTGTCGTGTAGCTACTTGTGCTAGTTGTAGCACCAGGTCGAAGCCTCGGTCCATGAGGCCGAGGTATGCTTGTAGCTTGAACAGCCATTCTTCATACTCGGAGTAGTCGCCAGTGAAGAAGGGTGGTGGCAGTTTAGCACTGCACAGATGCCTGCCACCTTGTAAGCGCACCCGCTCACGCAACAGCTGGGGTGGGGTATTGGGGAGGAGTGGGGCGTGACGTTACGCGCAGCATCGTTTGCAACATCATGCCAGCATCACGCAGTGCATGCGCGCAGCGCTGGGCGGGTGCGTGAGCGGGCGTGCTTATTAGGTGGGGCGTGGACGCGGCGCTGGGCCCGCCCACTGACTACTGGCCCATCAGTGGAGACCACATCATCCAAGTCCACAAAACGAATCTTCGATCGAAATTTACGCCTGAAGGCACTCAATGTCCTGTACCTACGGACCAACTTGAGGAAGACTACTGTTCGCAGAACTGGTAAGGATGAGAAGCACTACTTTGACAACTACCCGGAGAAGAATGAACTGGTACCAGGAGACCACTGGGTTGGTGAAACTACTTTCCGACGAAAGTCTGCAGCTACAGCATCTCCTCATCGCTCACTGCAGAATCGGGTGCTCCCACAAAGAGGTACAACGTCAAGATTACTCCAGTTCCAGCTCCAAAGTCTTAACCACAATGGGGACAACCTCCTACAGAACCAGATCGTCATCCACTACTTCCACCACTACTACACTAGCCGTAGAAGTTATGCGGCAACGCAATGTGCCTGAAAATCTGACCGTAATATTATGGAGACAACATTTACCTGACAATCTCACCGTGTGCAGAGACGACTTCTTTATAATACTGACAATCTGATGGTAACACATTCTGTATTCGTCCTGCAGAGACTAAATTTGCCTGACAATATATGACATTATAATGAGAACCGTAAAGTTCTGTGGTGACTAGATTTGCCTGACAATCTGAACATAACACATAAGTCTGGAGACTACCTGACATTCTGACCGTAAAGTTCAGTGGAGACAAAATGCGTCTACGATTCTGCCTGCGGAGACAAATTACATTTGCATGACCGTAATGAAAACAAAACACTTACAAAGGAGACAAACAATTAATTGCCTGACAATCTGCTATCTATGGAGACAAGCGTTGCCTGACAATCTGGTTCGATAAGTATTTGTTCACGCTAGTGCGGCAGAGTGACAACATTTGCCTGGCTAACCATTAGTAAAGTTCCAGGAATCGGTCAGCCAAAAAAGACATACTTAATTTAATTACAATACACAACTACAAGTTTACATAGATACATGACATAGATACATAAATACATACACACACACACATACATACATACATCAATCATACATACATACGTACACACATACATACTTACATAAATGACATAGATACAGAATGATACATAGACACATACACACACACGCATACATACGTACATACGTACATACATACTGTCAAGAGACGGCAAGGTGACGTCCCGTGGGACGCTATGCACCGAACCCTCAAGCTGTAATACCAACCACGTAGAAAGGTGTATACGGACGATGCCGTTATAGCCGAACCCGTGTAAACGTTGTAAGGGAGAAGGAATGATAGTTACAACAGTGGTCCTGACAAAAGCAGCGCAAGCGAAGTGTTTTCGCTCTCAATGCCGATCACGTATGTATGCAGTCACACATCAGATCTTGAACCTCAATTGTGTCTTGAGCCAAATGGCGATCAATGGAACTTGGGAAGCAACACCAACAAGGACCTCAGAACAGCTACCCAATTTCGGCACGGGGCCTAGAGGGTTTTAACATCCCCCATTTGGGTCGCATTGTTCATCATGCGGTCCAAACACCACAAAACGTTCCACTGGCCACGGCTTCAACTACGAAATCGTGTCGTGCATTCTTTTACTTGCTATCACTACACCGTTCATTCGCTGTGAAACATGCCGGGTTCGATTGTACGAAAAGTGAAACATTCATCCTCCAATCGAAGCACACATCCATATGCAGGTGTATATAATAC